TACCCTATATGTACCCTTAAGGGTCCATATTAGGGCCCATACTTCTTACCTTAGACAGGAACCACGTCCTTTTGGATGTACCTGTAATGCTGACAGTGGCTCACATGTTGGCGCAGCACAGGCTACAAGTTATCCCGATTGTGGCATTGCGGCGGTGCCTTCCTCCTGGCTACTGCATAGCTAGTGGTGGGTGATGCTGCAGTGGTACATGGGCAGCTGGCTTCGACCTCTTAACACTGCCTTTGCTGTGGTGAATTGTGCATACATGGACTTATATATTTAGCCTGCTTGGCATCAGAATCATAACTGGCATGGTCAACAGCAGCCAATCACTGGGGCCAATCACAGCCTCACCATAGTTAAGACTATTCAGCATTGGCCGCAAAGCCGTCCTCATCGTAAACCATTGCTTCGATAACACATACTATGACTATTCCCTACGGTTCCTTGTCATAACTATACTGCAACATCCCCAAAGCCCTGCTCCAATTATTAAGGTCCCCAAACCCTAAACCCTTGCAGTAGCCTTTGTAGAACCCTTTTAAGGAACCCTTTAAAGGAACCCTATGAAACCCTATTCCAATTATTCCGGCCCCCATTGCTGCTAGACGAAACGCTCAACCCAAATTACTTGGCTAAGGTCTAGGGTTTAGGGTTTAGGGCTAATCCCTTCTAGAAAGTGATTGCCAGGAAGGACGACAGGCCGCTTGTGACACATCTCTACGGTTTGGCTAAAGCTCCGAAACCCATCTAGGAATCTGCGGGCCCGAAGCTTCACCCATGCTATTCCTAGTATACCCAAGAGCATTATTGTAATTATTGAGAACCCTAAACCCTAAACCCCAAGAGCCTTATTGTAATGAGGGCCCCTGATTCCACTTCTCCGAGTTCTATAACTATCTCGTGGCGGGCGGAAGATGCATCATCCCGGCCAAGCTGGGATGTCTTAGAAGGTCCAAAGGCCCCAAAAAGGCTAATTAGGGCTTTGGGTTTAGGGTTTTGGGGTTTAGGGTTTAGGGCTTAGGGCTTAGGGTTTAGGGTTTTGGGGGTTTGTGGGTTTTTTGGCTTAATATAGGAACCTTACTAACCAGAATAGGGTTTTGGGGTAGGTTTTGTTTCAATTGTAATGAGGAGCCCGCAAAACAGTATAGCTATTCACTAAGGCTCCTACATTGGGGTTTGGTGATGTTTCGGGTTTAGGGCTTTTGGGTTTGCGGTTTGGGGCTTCGGGTCGGGCTTTAGACCCCTGATGAACACACCCCATTCCTTCAATGCGGATGATGATCACGGCATCATGGAGCAGAGGGAAGTAAGTTATTCCGGCTGTTGGGTTGTGGTTCTGGTTTAGGGTTCAGGGTTTAGGGTTTACGGGTTTAGCGTTTCGCGCAAAGCTTATACCGAGTCTTGTAGGCGCCTTTTCCTGAGGTCTGCAGTTGTAGAGGTCTCTGCCCCGGGTTTCCAATATCCACTCCTCGACGGCGCTAAACATGAGAAAGCTCCAGAGAAATATCAGGGCTTGAACAGTTACCAAGACATACAAGTACTATGGCTTAGCGTTCCTCTGATATTGATATTCTGATAGACCCTGAGACCCCATTCAGGGCCCCTACAGTATACTGTGAGGCATCCGCTTGCCCTCGCTATGGGATGTTGGTGTTTGCGGAGCTTGACCCGTAAACCCCGAACGTAAACCCTAAAACCCTAGAGCCCCAAGCCCTAAACCCCAAACAATAAGCCCTAAACCCTATAGCCCTTGGGGTTTAGGATGTCTCTTGTGTGAGACCGGCGGAGCAGAGCGCAACCTTGCCCTCGCCCAGGCTCTCGCTGAAATCTAATCCTGAAAACCCCAAGCCAAAAGCGCCAAATCCCTGAAAGAAGAGGGTTCTTAAAATCCGAAGAGGGTCTTAACAGCCGTAAAAGCCGAAGAGAGTTTTAAACGCCCCAAAGCCCTAGAAGTAGGTGGCACTTTACGTTGGATTTCCCATGATGGTCCTAAAGTGGCACAGTAATACCTTGCCATACATGCTGTTGGTTTGCTACTACCTTACGAACCCAAAACCTACTTTTTTGTAGGGTCCCTATACACCCCATAGTAGGGTTTATAACAAGAACCTACAAAAAAGTGGGTTATGGTAGGTTAGTAACTCGGTTATAAGTAGAGTTATAAGTACCCTAAATGGAGTTACCTCAATTATAACCCTACTTATAACCGAGTTACTAAGTCCTCTGGGCCTCCAAGTACTGAGTAAACCCGGACCTTTCAGCATCAAGCAGCTGCCACGATGTGTTCAGCTCCTAACGCCTGGCGAGGGAGTTGTCCTAAACCCTAAACCCTAAAACCCTAAACCCCTAAACCCCTAAACCCCTAAACCCTAAACATCCCTAAACCCTAAACCGTGGGCATCAGATGCACGACAACCCGAGAAGGAGATCTCCCTTCGCAAGGTTGGGCCGATAAGCAAGAGATATCGAGGCCTGAGTAGTTCCGGGTTTAGGGGTCAGAGCGTAGGCTTTAGGGCTTTAGGGCTTTAGGGGTTTAGGGGTTTAGGGCTTAGGGCTTTTGGTTTGGGGCTTAAGGCTTTTGGTTTAGGGGCTAGGGCTTAGGGGTCTAGGGTTTAGGGTTTAGGGTTTAAGGAGTTTCCAAAAATTAGGGGTACCCATCTAGGGTTTAGGGCTTAGGGGCTTTGGGTTTAGGGCTTCGGGGTTTGGGGTTTAGGGTCTAGGGTTTAGGGTTTAAGGTTTAAGGAGTTTCCGAAAATTAGGGGTACCTTGTTTTGGGGTCCTTATAACAAGGATCCTACTATTTAGGGTACTATATTAGGGTCCCCTATTTTCGGAAACCCCCATACCGAGGCCTGAGGAATTCGTGTTGTTGGGTTTGGGTATAGAGGCACTACAGCCGAATACACTCCCCATGCATTCAGACCTCATCTCTTCTGCCTCTTATGGCCGATGGATGTCTTGCTCGGAGGGGCTTTGGCTTTCAGAAGTAGCTTGTTGACACGAGGCTGCACTTCTACTTGAAGGTTGATGGATAAATGCAGCCAACGACTACAGTGACAAGAACTCAGATGGTGCTCTAACCAATTGTTGCTGCCGTCATCTTTGTAAGAATCTTGCTTCCAACTTTCTCTGGGCAAGAGAGCAGTCACGGCTGTTGAACTCTGGGCCCATTCTAAAGGTAGTAGTTCTCACCAGTAGCTGCACCACATAAGCTCCCGAAACCTATACCCCACAAACACCAAAATAATTCTAGGACCTTTACGATGGGTAGTTACCGTTATAGAAGCCTTATAGAAGCCCTATATACCCTAAACTTACCACCTGTAGTTTCCTTTAACTAACAGCTATCAGTATCAGAGCCCCTGCAAGCACCAAAGATCTGAGCAACTTTGAGCTTCCAGCTCCTCAGCTTGATTTCAGGCTGAGGCTTTAGGGGTTTAGGCCTATTTCTCTGGAGGCAACACGAAGATGACTGGGCTTGCAAAACGACGATGGCTAGGGACCCTAAACCCTAAGCCCGAACCCTAAACCCTAAACCCTAAACCCTAAACCCGAACCCTAAACCCTAACCCTAAACCCTAAATGACTCGGGTTAAAGCCGGAACCTCACAGCAGTGGATCCTGGTCCGAAGCAGGGGGCTGGAAGAGCCTGGGCTCGGCTGGGCTCGGTTGGGCTAGGCTGGGCTGGCCTTCCAGCCCCCGGCTATGCGCCGCAGCAGCTGGCACAGCAACTGAATGTTAGTAACCCTTATAAAGGAACCCATTAAAGGAATATCCCTTTAAGGAACCCATTAAAGGAATATCCCCTTAAGGAACCCACTAAAGGAACCCTATTGTTGCTTGATCTCCTGCTTGTGGTTGCGGGGTGGGTGGCAACATCAAGGATCGACATGGATCACAACTACTCGCAGTGATGCTACAACCGGTGCAGTCATAGAGATGGCCCCAGGCACGAGAAATTCGATAATGATGATGATGATGATGGTGGTGGCGATGGTGGTGGTGACGATTTCGGTCATGATGGTCGTGGTGGCGATGGTGATGGTGACACTGATGCTCATGAGAGAGTTTATTGCGATGACATGGGTGATGGTGATACGGCTCGAGATGAAGAAGAGTCGCTAAGATGATGGTGATGAAGAAGAAGAATTGTGTCATGATGGTCGTGATGGCCATGGTGATGATGATGTTAATGCTTATGAGAAGTATGATGATGATGATGATGATGATGATGAGGATGGCACTGCTTCCGGGAAGGGACAACACAACCACGAGCCGTATCAATCCAGTGCAGGATGACAACATTCGTGCTGTGTTCCTGCTGCAACTATTGTTGCGCAAAGTGATTGAATCTTTTCAGATCGTACGCCCCGAATTCTAAACCCTAAACCCCTAAACCCTGAACCCCGCACTCCTAAACCCTGAACCATGAACCCTGAACCCCTCAACCGTAACGCCTAAAACCCTAAACCTGGGGTCTGCTTCACTTGACCCCGGATGCTATGCGATAGAAAGACCGGCGAAAGGCGTCCCCGTGGATTTGTCGAACGCTTTTCTTGCTCGGAAAAAACTTAAAAACGGACATTGAGCGCCCTGAAATACTGTAGTAATGTTGTTATGGTAGATTGGTATCATTATAGTATGTTGATACTATAGTAGTTATAGAAAGTGCTGCTTTGGATAATGCCGCAAAAGGGAACAACGTATTGATTTGATGTTGTTTTGTTGTAAGATTTGCTAAAGTACTGCTGTTATATATTGATATTATCTTGTGCTGGTACTAAAAACTACTGTGGCATATCATTACTTCATTTGTATAGTATGCTGGGCTGTTTCGTAGCCCCTTAAGGTCCCT